TCAAGGTTCTGTATCCCATCTTCAGATTACGCTGGGCAGTTTTGCTACCTTAGCATTCACATTCATCCAATAATCAAAAGATTGAAAAATGTTCATGTTCAATCAACCTTTCAACTCTTCATAAAAATGCTGATTGACATAATTTGACATTGACATTCTTGACATTGACACCAACTCTTCAGTGCCAAGACATTAGACGAGTAACTGGGCCATTTCTCTCTCCTGCGGTCACTGAGAAAAGCGCCCAGATTTTTCATCTTCTTCGTCTTGCTTCGCATGCAAGGCGGCCTGCGTGATCTTGGAGAACCAAGGATATAGAGCCGTCTCCTCCTTTGAGGGAGGCCGAATCTCCGGCTGTCTACCACCTGCATGTTTGCAAAGAAACTAACATGCAGAATCGTCATCAATAATGCAAACATACATCATCATCACGAATCATCAAATGGGAAATTGAAAGCAAGCAAGCACGCAAGCAACACCTTCCAGGTAACATGATAAGCACGTTGGTTCTTGTCGTTCCTGATGCCGAGAAGTTGTTGGACCAAAGCACGGAAGTGTTTTCCTCAGCTGCACGTCCATAACAAAGCAGGCGCTCACATACACAACTCAGGATTGACAACTCAATTCAACACTGCACAAACCATCTGAGGTTCTGTGCTTCTTGCTTTTGATTCCCGGAACATTTTCCAGGACAAACGTCTTTGGCTTCCGTGATGATATGTAACCAAGGATATCTTTCAGGACTGCGGCTCTGGGATCTTGCCCGCCTCCATGTCTTCCACAAGCACCTCTTGGCAAGATTTCGCACGTCAATGACAAAACAATTGTCATTCCATCAAAATCAACAACACTGCCACGGATTGCGGTTTGGCTGTAATAGCAACAAGAAACTATATGGTTGGCATGGGAAGCCGCAGGTGTACAAATCAACGTGTGGCTTTTGCTCATTGGCAGCCGCATCTTCAAGCAGCAGTTGTGGTGGGTGAGTCTGACCTTGGCCCAACCCGTCATTGACAGCAACACCATGGTCCCTCAGCACAAGACAAAGACACTTAAATTGACATCATTGAATTCTGAGACCAAAGTGAAATGAAACGTTGAATGCCAAGAAACATTCCAAGACCTTTCGACAATGCCGATCAGTATCACTTGCAAAACTGTTCACAAATTGAAAGCCCAATTGGTCAGCCAATCTTGCAGTTGCCACAGCATCTGTGCCAACTCCAGAGCAATCGCTGCCAATGCTCAGTAGCCTTTGGCTGAGTGGCATCCTTGGTAACTGCAGGGCACAATTTCAAGAATACTCTGACAGTTGATCAATGCTGGAGGTGTTCAAATCTTGATAGTTTGGACAATGACTCCAAATAGTAAGTTCAGCTGAACATGACCATGTCAGGAATCCTTTAACTTTTGACGTGTCTTTGACTGATCGGAGGCATCGCAGCGTGAAAAAACTGGCCAATCTTGGCCAAAGCAAAACTGTCATTGACTGGCAGGTCAATGACATATTGGAGGTCCTTACTCACTTTGTTGGATGGAGAACGGCTCAGTCAAATGTCCTTCAGGTTCTTGATCAAACCCTCTTCAAGCATCATCACTTCGCTCGTTCTTCATGTCACTTCGCTCGGCATTCTCCTCAGCATCCCCTGGAAGTTCAATCCGACACGATTTGCATCCACGGAACCTGCACCTGCTGCACCCCTTGAAACCATCTCTCGGTACAACACCTTTGGGTGCAACACGACGAGGCTGGCGAGGCTGGCAAGGTTTGGTCTTTGAAGCTGCACTGGAAGCAGATGGCTTCTTCATCACTGGCTGTTCACCAAGGCCAGGATCATCATCCTCAGTCTTCCCGGTGTCCTTTGCATTCCGTTTGGCCCTCTTTTTTGCAACAGCCTCAGGGCTATCACCACCAGCTTTCCGAGCAGCAGGTCGCTTGATCCTCTTCATGGAAGTTGGGACATGTTTTTTTCGAGCAGCAGGTCTCTTCATTTCGGCCACCACATGATCCAATCCATCACCATCATTGTCATCATTGTTGTCCTCTCCTGAGTCCACTTTGGCTTCCTCCTCTGACTCTTGATGAGTAAATGCACCTTCGCATTCACTGCTAGAGGCCGCCCCTGGTCCTGTCCATGCTGCAGACCGTGGCCAAAAGTCACCTGGAAGCCTTCCTGAAGCCATGGTATGATGAATCAAAGGCAATCGAAGTCCCCAAGTTTGAGCCAGTCAGTGACTTCAGTGGGACAATGACCGTCAATGACAACGTGAGCATAACTTGAGCAATGAACATGCCATCAATCCATCAACTGACCATTGCTCAAGGTGAACGTCAAAGACAGTCAATGACTTCAACTCCAAAAATACACAGACACTGCAAATGATGAAATGATTTGACAAACTGTACCGGTTCCATTTATGTCGCATCCATCCAAATGCAACTTGGTGCAGCTTAGCGTCCGGGAAGACACAGTGGACCACAAGTGACCTCAGGTACCGTTCAAGTCAGCAAGAGGAAGCAAGTTACCGTTGATGCATCTTTTGAAGGAATTAGTTAAACAACACCCCAGTGAAGTTATGCAAAAAAATAGTGTTTTTGACTTGCAGGCGCAGGGGGGTAGGCAACCCATCCCCCCTGCAGCTCGGCGCTACCGCCGACTCGTTGGGGTAGGGTTTCGGATGTAGTTTTAACTTGCACATGAGGGGGGGTTGGGACACATTGCACCTGCAAGTTAAAAAATGTATCGAAACATGTCCCCTGCAACTCGGCGCTACCGCCGAGCCGCAGCAGAGTAGGGTTGCTGACCCCTCCCCACCAGCAAGTGGAACAAAATCAGGCATGTTGTTTAAGACATTCTTTTTTACGAGGCCAAATGCTGTTACCGTTGAAGATTCCAGACTTATTAGAATTACCGTTGGATTGAAACCTTCTGCAAGTCGGCGGTGCCGCGGACTCGCAGAGCCCCCCCATCCCTCTGCAAGTCGGCGGTGGCGCGGACTCGCAGAAGCATTTCAAGACTGAGAGCCTGGCTCTATTGATGGTCTGGTCCTTCTTCTGGCTTTACTATTGTTGTGGCCTTGGCTTTTTCAATCTCGAGTAGTAGAGTCTCAAGTTGTTGAACTTTGGAATTGCAGCATCCAAATCTAATGTCCTGATTGATTGATTAAGTGCTGAAGCAACTGCAATGATAGGCTCCTGGCAAGACTCGGATGGATGGATTCCCGCCTGGCTTCCCCACCGTGTGAGCATGTGAACAACCATATCATCAGATCACCACATATCACCACTGTGGAAGTTGAGCAAAGTCAATTCAATGTCAATGACACAGGAACTATCAGGTCCAAGCAGAAAAGCAAAACACCAAATTAAGCAATTTGATTCCCTTTTTCCAGGCAGGCTCACGGCGCTAGGTCCCGAATCAAAAAAATATGAAAGCGGACTGGAAGTCACTGTGTCACAGTCCCAAATCTACTTTTCACCATTGCGTTTCCCAGCCGGCTTCTTCACAGTGCCTTTGGGCTCTGGCTTCCCAGCCGGCTTCTTCACAGTGTTTTTGGACTCTGGCTTCCCAGCCGGCTTCTTCACAGTGTTTTTGGACTCTGGCTTGGGTGTTTTGGATTTCGTGCTATTCCCAGGCGAACCCTTCATCTGCTTTGAAACTTCTGCCTTGGACTCTGCCTTGGAACAGGGCAGACATCAGGAGACTTGATTCTGATGAGATTGATTCTGATTTAACTGGCAATGTCCAATGACAAGGAAAGGGAATCACCAAGCCACCTTGCCACCAGATCCTGCTGCATAAGGAAGCGAGATATGGACCGGATCAACCTTTGATGGGTAGTGGTGAGTCAATGACACAATGAAAACAACCTTGAGTCAATGACCGATAATACAATAATGTCAATGACGGTGACCTACCAAAGTGTCAATGACTTGCAAACTTAAGTCTGCCGCCTTGATGGACACTGTCTTGCCAGCAGCACCACCCTCAACGGAAATCTCCATGGTAGCAAGTGGACAAGGGAAATCAGATCTTCCAGGGCGCAACGTCGTCTTGAATGCAAAACTGAGGTTGCGCATCTGATTCAAGTTGTGAGAAAATGGCTCGATGCAAGTGACAGGAGTCGAATGGTTGAAAGCAAGAGAGTGGTTGAGGCAATACAAGCCAGAACCACCTCGCAGGCAGTCGCACACAGCCACGAACAGAAAGACGACCACTGGTGGCAACCTCATTACAATTTTTCAGAAAGGGAGATTGACATTGAAAAACATTGACAATTTGTCAATTTCACTGACATGATTTCAGGTGCAGTTTAAAAAGCAAATTGTCGAAACAAAGATCTGTGGTCCTGGCCAAACTGTCAAACAGCAAAACCAGGCCTGGCTCAATCGTAGTCACAACCAATCCAAAGACACATTCTGTTGTTTTTGCAGAGTCCTATACAACCCCAGGGGCAACTTCAGCAGTTCTGGCATTTTCCCCTCATCGACGCGATGCATATCATCGCTGACATGTCTGACCCAAATCAAGATGAAGCACGGCACCAGCTATTTACTCGTGCCATGATTTTCCACTTGAGAAAACCCCTAGAATCAAAAGCTGTCAGTTTCTCAAATCCCTTTGACTTGAGCATGGAGGTTGGAACTAAGGCGATGAAGTTGGATCGAGTCTTACTCTTCGCCATCCGTTCCCTCCAATCCTTCTCATCTTCCTTGGCAAACGGGCTAAGGTTCTCTTGAACGGATGATGGAACAAATGTAGACACTCATTTGCCAAAAAGCTTCATACAATTTCCATCCACCTGCCATAGCGCAGCGAAGGATTTCAGAGAGTCCCGGATGTAGCTGGGTAAACTGAGGGTGCACCAGCAGATTTCTCTGCGTTGCAATTTCGCCAGCTGGCATGTACCTTGTGGGCATGCGACTTCCCGATTGCAAAGGCAAAGAATTGGACTGACAACAGCTGACAAGGGATTGAAGTGAATGGGGAATAATAATTTTATACAAGATTCTGAATCCAAGGCCCTTGGGCCAGATCCTTCGTGACAATCAAATGTCCGCTGAGCTTTGCAGCCCAGGAGACCCTTTGTCCAGGGGCAGCGAAATTGTCCACCACGTGGCAAGTTGCCTCTTGCCAGCTCTCCACGATGTGAGCCCCCATCATGGCCACATCCTTTTTGACATCGGTATTGGTGGTCCACAAGAAGGTCGGCCTTTTGACCAGAGACGAATGTCAAAACCACATGTCATCAATCAATGTGCATCTACTTTGATTTGAGAGATAGGCAATGCATGTCAATGTGGCAAGATGTTTGGACTTCTGCCTGGACTTCAAAGAAGGAAATTGACGAGCTGCAAATTCCTTCTCAAGTTCGGAGCTTTTTTTGGCCTAAGCTTGACAAACTCATTAGTTTGGGAAAATCATCAGTAGGCCAAACTGTCATCCATTAATAAAAATTATCATCACCAGCATGTCATCATCAGTATCATGTCATTGTCACTCAATGTCATTCCTGCCCTGGTTTGCTCAAGTGTTGGCTGAGTCTCTGCCGTCAGATCTTGCATTTGTTGTTTCCTGATAAGCGATGAGAACAATTTCAATGCCAAGTCATTGTCATTGACAATTCATGATAGTTTTGATTGACAATTCATGATAGTTTTCGATGGCTTAGTCCCCTGCTTCAACAGTTCCTGGTACTTAGCATCAGGGAGTCGCTCATGCTTCTGCAAGATGCCCATCTGTTGCGCTTCAAAGCGACGCTTGGTCACCTGAAAAGCCAACATGATAATTATTATTCATGGTAAAGCCACATGAAATTCAAAACATCACCACAGCGATGATTTTTGATCAACTTGAATCATCAATGGTCAATCACAAGCCAAATTTTCAGTTGAGCAACTACATTTTGAATCTTCTTGATCGCGTCCTTGGCCTCCTTGCAAAGAATTGGGTCCTCATGTTCTTGATGTCCAGCACTGGAAAGAGATGTGACTCGGTCGACCTCCAGCCGTCGCCGCTTGACCCAAGCACTCTGGCTTTGATTGGGATCTGCAGCCTTGGATACCCAGTCAATGTGTCACTGACCTATGACAGGTTGTGTGTCAAGGCGACAATGACAAAAGATGACAAACCATTCATTCAACCCCAGTCAGTTTGTTCAACACTGATCCTGAACATGATCTCAGAAACTTGGCGTTTCCTTGCCAATGCCGTGCCTGACACAAAATTTCCACCTCTTTGTGAGCCACTCTTGCGCTCAGAATTGAAGCCCTCCTTCCAAATTTGCTGAGCTCGACGGATGATCTCAGAAGATTGACCTGGCTCCATCTTCAAGAACGATGTGATGCGAACGTGCATCTCCTTCAGCAATGGGTTTGCACCCCTCTTTCGAAAGGTTCCCAGGATGTTTCCAAAATCACGTTCACATGCTGAAGTGGATGCTTGCGAAAGACACAAAGCCCTTGCCAGGCATTTCACTAACTCAGGATTGTCAGCAGCTTGTCGACCCTGCAAAGTGCTTACCCATGCTTTGAGGTCGGGGAAGTCTTCATCATCAGCAATGCGCTGTCCTTGGTCTAATCAATGCAGCTGGTAACGAACTGATTATTATTTCATGTTGGTATTTTCAGTCAATGACAAGCTCTTTTTCTGTCCATGTCAATGACAACTAGACTTGACTTGAGGATTACTTGAATCGAATGAGAAGCATTTCGAAAACGATAATGACAAATATTGACAAATTAATATGCCAGGAACTTCTCTTCGCGGCTGTGTATTCACAGTCCGCAAAACTTTTCACCAAAGCTGGGAGATTGTGCTTCTCCTGGAAGACTTGGGATATCTTGCCCAGGTCCCGCTTGACGACTGCCGTCTCAAGTCTTGGTGTCAATTGAAACACGCTGAACGCTTGAATCGCTTCGAAGCTGGGCCATTCTGCCTTCAGGGTCTCCTCCGCCAAGGAGACCCATTGGGACATCCGGCTGAAACATTCAGCTACCACCTGTGGGGGCAATGTGCCATCACCTCCCAGTGATCGAAAGTGTTGGCCAACTCGAATCACAGTTTCTTTTCGTAGCCATACCATAGCCTTCAAGGCAATTGGATTGAAGGCCAGACTTTCATAGACTGACTGTCATTGACGGGGCATTGACTGTGATTGTCATTGATGTCATTGATGTCACTGACGTCATTGACTGTGAATCTCAATGAGATTGTGAATGTCATTGACATCATGAACATGTCATGGATGTGAGGTTCATATTATGAGAAATGTTTTTCATCACTCCCAGAATTATTTGCCATCAAGAGACATGTCGTGTGTAGGATTGAACCTGAAGAGCTTTCTGTTTGAGAAACAAGGTGTTGATTCGGTTCATGAAACCATCCATTGCAGCTCGCATTTGAGACACGTCCACGGTGTTCTTGTCACAGAACCGGATCCTCAAAGGGTTGATCAAGCAACCTTCCCACACGAGAATCAGAAACTGACTGTGCAAATTGAAAGTCAAAGCAGTATCAAGTCAGTAAGTCAAGCAAAGTGGCAAGTCAAGCTCCTCTTGTGCTGCGTCACACATCATCGCCATTTGAAGTATGGCTTCCTCATTGATGGAAAGCAGAAACGACTCAGCATTCTTCTTGGGCTTGGGCGTTGTTCTCCTTGCGTAGATCCTTGGATCTGGCTTAGGTTTGGTCACTCAATGCCAGGGTCAATTACAACAAATCAATTGAAATGGGAAATGGTCACTGACGCAATGACAAGAGTCTCCATTGCTGCATGAATGATTGCAGACGTGTGGAGAACGAACCTTGATGCTGGTTTCAACATGCTCGAGTGGCGATGTTTGGCGAAACATAGGTTGCGGGTTTTCCAGGTCCTCTTGGAATCTTCTTTCACCTTATCAGTCGAAAATTTAATGGCATAGGGAAACTCTCTCACTGTCATTCATTCAAGTTCCTGCTCGAACACCAAACCCAAAGAGGCCAAGGCTCATATTTCCTGAAAATCCGCACATTCTGAGGGCTGTGGTGGATGAGGCTGATAATGCTGTTCGAAGACCAGCAGTATTTGTACCAAACCTCCTTGAGCATGGGAATCTTGTTCCACTTCTGCGTCAGCCTGAGATTTGGAAAATTATAGAAAATTAATTTCAATTGACAAGACGACTGTGAGATCAAATTCCAGAAAAGAACAAGTGGTTCAATTTGAGTAAGGAACCGTCCGGCAGCATGCGCTGCATCCCTCACCCTTATTCGGGCATTTCGGAACCATTGCAGTTGCGTGTTTAAACGCAAGGTTTTCAATTCGTCTGGAGCTGCATCAGATCCAAGAAACTCCTGAGGTCACAGATCATCAGAAGGTGGTGCAAACATCTGCAGACTAAGTCTTGACTGACAGACTACTGCAGCTACTTCAAAACCAAGTTTCCACTGAATCATTGTACTTTTTCAACAAGGACTTTTCCAGCAGTGGCTTCATCCCAATCCATCCATGAGGTGGACACAATCTCTTTGTGAAGAAACGCCGGGATGCTTTGCGAGATGCCTTTGCCAGATTGTGAGACCCACTTAGCTCGCTCTTCAGAAACGCCAGGGGGGAATTGGTAGTGATGAGTCGTTCCTCGCCTTGGGGAACAGTGCCAACAAGAGATGGCCAAGGAAATGGACTCAAATGTTCAATGGTGTCACCAAGATTTCCCAAGACATCACAAGACAGCATCGCATGATTCTCTAAGCTCATGACCCTTTGCAAAGCTGACCACAGTCATTCTGACTCCCAAAGAACTGCCCTGCCCATCTTGCGACAGACTCGCCGTCAGGCATCGCTGAACCCTTGCTTTGACAATCTCCTTGATGGCTTCATTTGAAACCCACATCAGCTTCACTGACTTGGACAGACCATGCTTGGATTTTCGGAGAGAGGTGCCATTGTTCCTCTCATCAAACATTTGGCGAAAGGCTTCGGCATCTGGACAGCAACATCGCCCAGCTGAAGTTGAATGCACTTTACTTCTCTCATGTTGGATCAGTTGGCTCTTCTTCCAGACCTTGCTCTGAAAGCCGGGACACAATGAACATCTGGATCTTTTTGGTGTGCCTCGGAGCCAGTGGAACGTCCGGCACCATCTTTTCCAAACCTTTTCATCCGACATGGCAACTGCATGGAGATGGTTGTAAAATTCCCCTTGTGAATAATGCTCATTCATTCAACTCTTTTTGTTTGAACATTTAACAACCAAGGTGGGCCTGGACCAACCATCATCTTGAGTTGTACCAATGACACTCACATGCAATGCAAGTATGAGACGAGATGGCAGCTGACACAAAAGAGCATTGCATGTTTTGGGCACAATTCTGACTCAATTGCATGCAGCTGGGCAGACGCTGGACAGTTGCGTCATTAAACAGGCCAGTTCCACGACAGTGTGAGCTGGGAAGCCGGTGGCAGTTGACGCCGATGGCAAAGTTGCAAATACTGTAGCACTCAATGATGTTTAAAGTTTTGATTGTCCAATTGTAAAATGACAGAAATGATGCTGGTATTCTCATTGATGCATGTCAATGTCAATGTCAATGTCAATGTCAAGTCCTGATCACGACTTGCTGGAATGCAAACACTGTGGCTTGACACTCATTTGCTGAAACCTTTCCACGGGTGGTCAGTCAATGACACAGCACAATTGGCATTGAAACAAAGTCAATGACTCAAAATCATCTTCGTAACTGCAAAGTCAATGACACAATCTGCAAGACAAGGTCAGTGACACAATGTGCGAAATACGAGACAATGACACCTCAATTCAACTCTTAAAAAGTGAGCTACTGCTGCTGCACTCTGATACTTTTCCCGTGCACCTGCCAATCGCCACAGCGCTGTCACATAGTATACGTATGCACTGCAGCAAACCGATCAAATCTGCAATGGAACGTCACACAACGCTGTGATTGTGGCACTGCAACATTCCCCAAGATTGAAAAGTGGAAATTGACTAACTACACTCGCTGTCTCTTTGATGGAGGTCCTTGCTGGTCGTCATCATTGGTTGAGCCTTGGTGTCCAACATCGTCCTCATGGAATGCTGCAGGGGAGAAATGATAATGGTGCTCTGTCACAATCTCCCAAAGCGGTGGCCACGACCAATGAAGGTGTGGAGCAGCAGGGTCGCCCTCATCCACATCGTCCTCACCATTTCCTGGAAGCATCAGTGTTTCTGCATCTGAGTCCCCGGAATGGACATGCTCGTCATCGTCAGTGTCACTCAGCAATTGGTCTGCGTGCACCACAGGTCTCCATCCAGGCCTTGGCCAAGATTTGTCATTCATCAATCAAACTCAAGACTCAAGTCTTTGCAACAAGAACATGCCAGTATGACGATAGTGTCTGAGGAGAGTCGATCGTGTCATCAGAGAAAGAAGAGCCACACTCACCAGACACTGACACAGAGCCATCATCAGCAACCGCTTGGCTAAGATGGTCATAAACCTGAGCAAGTCATTGACAAATTGTCACGACTCAAGCCCTAGGACTTTTGGGCCCTGACTGGATCAAGTGACGCGCTGGCAAATCCTCCAGCACACGAACCTCAGCTTCGCAGTTTTGTTTCCCGCTCATCATGAAAACCCAAGAGTATAAGCAGTGAGCAGTCACCATCGCAACAAAGCATGCTGAAAACACCCAATGATGAGACGGTCAGTGCAAAACACTTTTTTCACCATACGCACGACAACCATTGCCGGTGCTGTTGCAGTTCAATGGGCCTTAGCTTTCTGCACAAGCATCAAATATTGTTGTTCTGTTGCATTGACATCAATGTACTCAAGATCTTCTTGACATTCATGACTACACAGCTCACGACGTTCGGCCTCATTTGAATCCACCGGCCCCACTGGCAGGCCCAATTCCTGATTGCACCTTACTTTCAAAGTTTTCCACTGATCCAAGTTGGGGTGACAGATCATAACTTTGGCAAAGTCTCACACTGTGCGTTCCATTCTCCGGGCTCCTGACTCATCTGCCTGCTTCCGAAACGTCTTGATCAGCCATCCGTTGACGTTTTTGATATCTGGCCACTCAGTCAATGACGAAGTCAGCAAAATCAAACTAAGTCAATGACAACAACCAGTCATGACGACGTGAGCAACTCTCAAGCACGTCTGAATACGTCTGAAATAATAAAACATGCCGGAAACACGACGAGACCGGTCTCTATCTGAAAGGAAGGCACACACATCAGCATATTTCTCCGGGAAGATCAAGCGCATCAGGCCAAATGCCTGGATGGTAGGCCTTCGCAGCCGGTCACTGAACAAACACAAGACCTGATCAAATTGAGACAAACTCCCTGACAGCAGCACATGATGAAACTATACAGGGACAGTCAACGAACATGCCGAAATTTGACTGGCCTTGTCAAGTCATATTCGCGAACCAACCTTTGGCCTTCGCTATCTAATGCCCCCAGTGCTACTGTATTAGTTGTCATTTTGAGCCAATACCGGCTACATTGCATCTTAAATTAATTAAAGCAATTGAATTGTCAGAGGTCAGAATCTCTTTGCTGCTTCAAACCAAGTGAAGTCAAATACTTTCGCAAACTCAGTTGTCTAAGAGTCATGTGAGGCATCATCAGTGTGGACGCATTTTTCCACTGTCAATGACAAACGACACATCACTGTAGTCTAGCTCAGGTCAATGACGATTGAATTGTGCACAGGTCAATGACGGGAGCATCATAACATCCTAAGATAAGAACATCGTCAACAACTTCATCCAACAAAGACCCACACTCATCAGCAACTCAGCAACCCAAATTTGATTTTGATACTGCACTTGAAAACAATCAATTGCAAGCAAGGATCTAATACTCATCACTCATCATGCTCAGCAACTGCTCCAATGTCACAAATGAGACAATTCAACAAATAGCGAGGCCAACGGGGACCGTAAGTCGCATGAAGGTCCTGTCGCCAGATCATTGGGGCAAAGCGTATTTGCCGGCAGAGGGGCAAGACAAGAAGAATTCGCTTGAGGTTCTCAGGGACGCCTTCAAAGATCTCCATCCTCACTCAGCAATCATGAACTGGGCTGACACTTGAAGTTGACTACAGCTGACTGACAATGGCATGATATGGCATGTGTTTTTGACTGACATTTCACGACAAGAATCAATATGGATTGCAATTGCAAATTCTGTGCTGCAGTTGCCCACAAGTCCACTCGGGGTGGATAAGATGGAGGCAATGGAAGCATTGGTGCCAAACCACGCTTTGGCATCGACTTCGCCTTCGGCTGTTTCCGTTGCTGTGGTCGAACCTTTGGTTGGGGTCACGGAAGCCTTGGTTCGCGTTGGGTTCGTAAATTTATAACTTCAATCTCGCACAGTGTAAATGACAATCTGATTATTTCACCCAGGAACCTCAAACAGTCTGGCAAAGGATATGGATGGCAGTTGTGGATGCGCCAGAAGTTGGAAAGAGTCTTGATTTGAATTTGGGCCCACTGCCTTGAAGACATTCCCATCCGGGCCAATGATTCAGAGGCAATCAGAGACCTGCAACAGCCATCAACTAAAAATGAACACAGTCAGTCGTGGCAACATCATCATCGGCAAGTCAGAAGTAACAATATGTCGTTCAACTTGGATTGGAGACACTGACTACTGCTTGGCATGGGCGCCTCTTGATTGCGTCACTTTCATCCAGCCACCTGTTGATTGCTTCTCGGTCTTGTCTCCAGGCACGTTTCTGGCTGAGGCTAAAAATGATGCAACAGCATTCCACACCAAAGACCTTAGGGGGCTTCCCAAGTAACAAGAACACAAGACACGCAGTTTGAATCAACTCGGTTAAACAAGATAACATGGCTGTCATGAAGCAACATGACTGGGCCAATAAATTCAAGTTGCAGACAGGACTGCTGATAGCAATGCCACAAATGCACTCGTTCTATGGTAGCCGGCTTTGCAGTTAATGGCCACAATCAGGCCAATCATCTCCAGCATCTTGCACAAGACTGGCATAGCTCTGTGGTGCTGGAAGACCTTGATTAATGCATATTAATGCAGCAAATGCAAATGTTTCAACAGGGTTCATCATCAGAACTGGGTGAGTGATGAATGACATGAATCCACAACTGAGTCCAGCGACAGTCTGTTGGATGCAGGACCGCAAGCCACTGTGATGCTGAATATGTGGTCTTGGTGGCACAAAGCTTTAGACTGACATGGGTCGAGTCAAAATAACAAACAAATTTGTTAAATTCAGGTTTAGGTGAAGGCATCATGGACATCAACAAACTGAAGACAGCTGCAGCTTCAGCAAAGTAGCTGTTTCACTGGAACATTCACTCTCAGGGACTGGGCCAAGTTGTGGAACTGTGCCGGTTCCGTTCTGTCCATCACAGCTTCAATCGGATTGTCCCACCATTCCTTAGCAGCCCATCCAACAATGAGCACCCTTTCTGGCCACGACGACCTGGCACCGCCTGGACCAAGTTTTTGGCTCACCTGAGTCAGCCATGGTAAAGGAGTCAATGACAATTTGTGATGGTGACACAGTAACAAGCACTAACTGTGTCGCAAACGACAGTGAAGGATTTGATTCAAGTAAAGATTTGATCCACGATCAGGGACAAGAGTCCTGCCGCTGCAGCCGCTGGATTTCACCTGCATCCCACTCTTCATCACTGCCATCGTCACCCTGTTGCCAACGTCTCTTGGTCATGGCCAGCACTAAGACTATGTCAAATTCATGTCAGCTGATCTTGACAGGCGTCTGTGGTTGAAACCATCAATTTTTGAATCCCAGTCAGTGGTCGTGTGACAATCTGACATCAATTTGTTTATTCAGATTACGACTGTTTGAGTTGCAATGCAAGTCACTATGAACACATATGAACGCAGCTGCGGTCACTATGCAAGTGAAGGTCAATGTTGATAAACAATTGAATGTGTGACAATGGCCATGACATCTGCAAGCTGGTTCAAGAAATGAGAGACTCAGGTGCAAGATTGCTGAGATTCCAGCTTTGGAGACTGAGCCTAAGATGCCAAATGGCACTAACAGATGGGAGGAATGTGACCAGTAGACTTGCTGCACTCAAGTTCGAAACAGTCTAAAGTCAACAAATCAACGACGGCAATGCCGAGCGCTG